GAGGCAGGGTGTGTTTTGTATGGTTTTTACAAGGGGTGGTGGGGGGGGGGGTGCCCTCATGATTCCTGGTTGGCTACCAGTCGCCGGGGGGAGGGGGTGTTTATCAATAGGGAACAGTGATCTAAACCCCTCTCCGAAGGGGAAGAAAAGGGGGCTGGCAGAGGAGCCGCCCCAAACCACCCACGCCCAGAGGGCTGGTGGGATCTAACCCACATGTTTTTTTTTTTGGGGGGGGGGGCAGAGGGCATTTTTTTTTTCTTTTCCGGGGGGGATTTAACCCACATTCTTGTGTGAGGCACGTTTCTTTTTTGTCGTCGCAAACAAATAACCCACATCTGTTTTTTTGGGGGGGGGGGTTTTTTTGGGGGGGGACTAACCCACATTCTTTGTGTGAGACGCGTTCTTTTGCGTGTGCATGTCGGGGCGTTCCCGGAGCCGCCCTGTGGCCCCTTCGAGCCCGCCCGGGCCGTCTCGGACGCGCGCAACCCGGGTCGCAGCACGCGCCGCTGCTTTTCCCAGGAGCACCCGAGCGACGTTTCCGGAAGCCTCGTCGGGAACATGTGCATCGACGGAAGATTCCCCATGGACATCCGAGCGGGTGTTCCGACTCACGCCGCAGGAGCAAGAGGAGGGGGAGGAGGAGGAGGAGGAGGAGGAGGAGGAGGAGGAGGAGGGGGAGGAGGAGGAGGAGGAGGAGGAGGAGGAGGGGGAGGAGGAGGAGGAGGAGGAGGAGGGAGGAGGGAGGAGGAGAGGAGGAGGAGGAGCGTCGAGGACCACAACGACGATGACCCCCGACTGTCCGCAGAGGTCACGGGGTGTCTCTCGAGTTTGGCACAGGAAGCCACGGAAGGGCAAACCACGTCCAAACATGTATAAGACGTGCAAACATGTCCAACCACGTCCAAACCACGTCCAAACATGTATAAGACGTCCAAACCACGTCCAACCACGTCCAAACATGTATAAGACGTCCAAACATGTCCAACCACGTCCAACCACGTCCAAACATGTATAAGACGTGCAAACCACGTCCAACCACGTCCAAACATGTATAAGACGTGCAGGGTCGACGATGACGATGCCGGCCTCGGCTGTGCCGGCGGCGGCGGCGGCCAGAGCCCTCACGCTGTACGAGCGTTGTTGCTCGGAGCCCCAGGTCCTGGGCAACCGCGGCGACGAAAGCGACCCCGCGAGGCCCAAAAAGGCTTAACATACTTCACAAACCTCGATCCTCGACCCTGGATCCTTCGTTCTTTCTCCTCGATCGTGGAGGACTGCGACGACGCTGGGCGGCGACAGTGACGACCACGACCACAACCACGACGATCACGGTGACGACGACAGTGACGACGAGGAATTCTTGCGGCCTTGACGACGACCACATCGTTGACGATCGATCGACGGCGGCCTGCGGCCTCCACACGTCTCCAGAGTCCAGAGGCTTCCGGAGGCGCCAGAACCCCACAAAACGTCCGGAACTTGCAGTCGTTCGATCACGTCCACAGGCGACGACTACCGCCACCACGACCATTACGACGACCACCGCGAGGATCATGACGACGGCGGCGGCTGCGGCGGCGGCTGCGGCGGCGGCGGCGGCTGCGGCGGCGGCGGCGGCCGCGGGAACGGCGGCGGCGACGGCGGCCTGTCGGCCCGGAGCCTCTCTGGCCCTCCTGGGCCACCGTGGCGGTCACGTCATTTGCGCAGTCTGGGAAGCACTCGGAGTCTTCCGACACGTCGGACGTCGATCTCGCACGGTTCCGCGACCGCGCACAGAACCCGAAATCATCCCTTGGAAGGCTCAGCACGTCAGGGCGGCCTTTGCTTGGAGGACCTCTCATTTGGTATCTTGGGGTTCGTGGATTCGCGCAAGGTCCACTGGCAACGATTGCGCAATTGGCTAGAACCTAAAAGCGCGTAGCGCGCGTGGTCTCACAATTAAAGAAGGTATTGTAAATACATAGGACCTTGATGACATTCGTGTTCCCAGCGTACAATGCTGTTCGCACGAACGTAATACATTTCTTTACATGTAGAATACTAGCAATGATCTCGGCTTCAATCGCGATCGCTGTGGGGATGTTTAACATGGGGTGGTATCAACTTATCCATAAACGTTCGGCGAAGCATGGTCTAACATGGGTTACTTCAAGGTCTTAGGCTTGGCTTATCTGGTCGATCAAGCTGCTTATGGTGGATACTACCGGTGACCATGTCTCAACTACCCGCAGAGATTCAGAAGACGACGGTGAGTAGGAAAGACTTGAGGAGGAACTCGAATTCAAGTCGCTGGTGGTGCTTTCCTTTGCAGCACAGCCGGGCGTAGGACGAAGGAAGCAGGAGCAGAAGGACGAGGAGGGGATGTGGTTCAAATGTATCCGCCTCTTTTGCTCCTCGTGCGGCTGTTTCGCTACCGGTGCTAGGTTCGGTAAAAGACTTGCCAGCCCTGACGATTGCAGTGGGGAGGTGTCTTCCGACCTGCGCAAACTAAGGAGATACATAGTCCCTTAGACTGAGCTCCGTTTTGAAAGAGCGGGCCCTCTGTAGAGGTTGGGGGACGATTGGATGAGTGGATCAAGAGGAGGAGATGATGAATCTCAGGATTCAATACACATCGCCCACATTGCCTGCTGAAGTTGCAGCGCTGTTCCAGTATTCGATCTTGCCGCATGAGCGTTGCGCGACCGCGACGCACCATCTCCGTGCGTGAAGTAGTGTGCGTGCGCGGCCGGTCCATCTGTGCTATGAGGCTGGACCTTGGCCTCGAGGCAGACAGGATCAATTATCAATACCTCTCTCCTTTTCCCTTCATCCTGCCCCCTCGTCAAGTGTGAACGGTGCTGCATCTCCCAGAAGCCGTGGCCAGGGGGAGGGATGCTGGCGAAGAGGGGCCTGAGTGCGGGAGGAGGGCTGGACACTTTAGTGTAAGGGTTGCCTGCCGTTGCGCATGTTCCAATTGTCCGAGACGAGACACTTTTATGCAATGGCAGCTTGTCGTTGCAAGCAGCTGGAATTTGGCAAACGGCTGGTTTCTGTTGCCATTCACAGGACTTGCATTCAGCAGTGCCACGCCCTGAGAGAAAGAGAGAGGGAGAGAGAGACTCCCGGGGTCCCCACCACCACGACCACAACCACTACCACCACCACAACCACCACGACAAACCACAGCACCACCACTCCCACTACCACCACCACCTTAATCCACCACCACAACAACTACCACCACCACTACCACCAGAAACCACTGCACCACTGCACCACCACCGCCACCACCACCACCACCCCAACCTGCCACCCTAACCACCACAACAATTACCACCACCACCACCAACCACACCACCACCACCACGACCACCACCACCACCACCACCACCGCCACCAACACCACCACCACCACAGCCCACCACCGCCACCACCTCAGAGAGGCCCCAAGAGACGCCCAAGAGGCGCCCAGGAGGCTGCACAAATGCCTTTTAGAGGCCCCCGACAGCCCTCCGACGAGACCCCAAGAGGCATCCAGTAGGACTCTGACCCAAAACCAAGGCACGTTGGCGGAGCTTCGTCGTTGTTGCCATCGTCGTCGCCGCCGTTCCTGTCGACGCTTCCCGCCGCCGCCCGCCGCCGCAGGCGCCGGCGCCGGTCCAGAAAAGGAAGTTGTCGTCCCCGCCGCCGCCGCCGCCAGCCGCCGCCGACGCAGGCGCCGGCCCGAGGAGAGGGAGACAGGAGCAATAGGGGAGGAGGGGGAGGGGAGGTTTGTCACGGGAGGGGGGCGGGCGGGGTTCGAACCCCCCCCTCTCCATCCAGGGGAGGGGGTCCGGTTCCCCCCCCCCCCCCCCTCCGAGCGACCGCACAACGCGTTCTTTGCTCCCTCGTGACATCACCTTTCTCCTTCCTTGATATTGTTCTTCCTCATTTTTCTTTCTCCCTTCTTTTCCTCCTCCCTCCTCTTTTCTCCATATCTGTTCCTTACAGACAACTCCTCCCTGCTGCACCCCGAGGCCAGTCGAAAGGGCGGGCTGCGCGATTCGCCTGAGAAGTCGCCACCGTTTGGCATTCTTGCGCGTAGAAGCTGGCAACCGCCTCGCAGATGGAGGGCGGCTGGTTTTCAAAATGTGGCTCTCGACTTAGCGCCGCGCACGTTCGTTTTTAACCGTTTGCATGGTTTTCGCGGATTGAGGGCGGTTCCTTTTTCAAAGCGTGGTTCTCGCCTTAGCGCCGCGCACGTTGGTTCTCAAAGTCTGTAAGAGCTTCGCGGATTGAAGGCGGGTGGTTTTCACAGTGTGGTTCTCGCTTAAGCGCGCTCGTTGTACAAATTTGCAAGGGTTGCACATATTGAGGGCGGGCGGTTTTCAAGCTGTGGCTCTCGCCTTAGCGCCGCCTGCATTCGTTCTGAAAGCTTGTAAAGATTTCGGTGATTTTTATGGTTACAGCACAGCTGTTTCGGACAGGTTCATGGTACATGGTTGTCAGGGCGCGACAGTTACGCTGATTCGCGGTGTTAAACTCCCAGGAACAGTCTTCTGGCACGACTCAGGATCGCCAGCACCCAATCCTTCAGTGGAAATTAGTCTTTGCAGGGACATGCGAAGAGGGAGCTTGGCGGGAGGGTGTGTTCCAACATCGTCGATGCGTCCTGGATTAGAACTGGTCATCTTTCCTCCTTCTTTTTCCCCTCCTCCTCCTCCTCCTCCTCCTCCTCCTCCTCCTCCTCCTCCTCCTCCTCCTCCTCCTCCTCCTCTTCCCATTTCTCTTCCTCCTCGTACTCCTTTTCCACCTCCTCTTTGTCCTTCCTGTGCTCTGCAGTCGCGTTGGCCGCCGTGGGCCCGGCACGTTTCTTTCAGTTCCTGTTCCCCTCTCCCCGTCATTCTTCCTTCTGCTCCCCCTCCGTTCCTCCCTCCTTCGTCCTCCGTCCCCCCTCGTCGTTAATCTCCCTCCTTCGTTCCTCCCTCGTTCCTCCTTCCCTCCTCCCTCTTCCCTTCCTCTTCCCTCCCCCCCCGCAGGCGGCGCGGCGCGCCCGTCGCCTCGCCGCCCGCCCCGCCCGCGCCGCCGCAGATGCCGCTGCCA